AATGCGATGCTCTTCGCCCAGACGACGCTCTATCCTTTGGCCAACTTTGGGCGCCAAAGAACGTCCCGCCACGACGTCGATGCTAATCAACCGTGAAAGGTTGGAAATGACCGGACTTCTGTATCATCTCTGTCTATATATGAATCCGATGGATCAGCTAGGCTCATACCTACAGCGCCTAGCTTGATCATTGATACAGTTCTCTGGCGTAGTGCCAGGCCCTCAACTTCAGCTCTCATGACACCCTGACATACCGGCATGTTCTAGGAGCATTGCTACCTTAGAAAGAGCTGTCTCAGGAACAGCTCAGCCTAGCATGGGGATTTGGATGTAGTCCGAGACGCCTCTCCGGTAGCATCTGTAGGTGAAGTGGGAAAGGCAAGGTACATTTACTTCAATATCAAAGCCTGATCATCATCACCACTTCCAATTTCTGCCTTGGCCTTTTTTTGTACCTGCCTTCACTCGCGATTGCAAATGAAATCAAAACAAACACAAATTTTCGATCAATTTCTTTCCTTTCCTTTCCTCTCTGAGCAACACCTCCCCAAACCCCCAAAGGCTTTTGCTTTGCTTTTCTGCTTGCTCTGTTCTCGTGGGTATTTTCTCACAAAACAAGCACAAGTGACAGGATGCCTTCTTCTGCCTCCTCTCACAATTTCTCGCTCCCAAGCTTCGTCTATCGCTCTCGTAGCCACCAGGACTTACGCCCCCGCGAGCAGAACTCCTCCATCCTCTACACCACCGCCGCGCATTCCGCCACTGAGACTGCGCTCCCCAACATCCGCGAGGAATCAAGCGCTCTCCTCTCCAACAACGGTGATGACGACGTCACCGCACTCCCGCATCCAACCCGCGAGCCCAGACGCAAGATCAGCTTTTGGGGACGACCCGCTAGCCCGAGCACCGAGAAGCAGTCGGCCGTACTCAAGAAGCGTGCCCCCACCGTCACCACCTCCGTCGCCGCCAGCGCTCCCGGCACACGAGCCACATCGCCTAAGATCAAGCGCTCGAAGAGAACATGGGCCCGAATCGCTAGCAAGTTCAAGAAACCCTTCCGCGGTCTGAAATTTGGTAAAGGTCTAATGGGATCAGAGAAGAAGGCCCCTCCCGTCATCGGCGCGCCATCCGACTTCCAGCATCTCGAGTCTGGGGCTGGTCCGGAACGTCGCCGGGCTCACGGCCGGTACTCGCTGGGAGCAGGGGATGTTCTGGAGGTCGTTCTAGAGGAAAGCCATGGTCAGGACAGCGAGTGGGAGGACTACGACGAGTAAGAATCTAGCGAAAGACTCCAGGGCAGTGAAATTCAGGTTGGATAGGAGAGATGGCGATATTCCATTACTTCAAATGCGTTAACGAATGGCAGAGGTCTTTGCGGAGGGCAATGAAGCCGTTATATATCTTTTCATTTGTACAGTAGAAATTCACCGCTCAGAGCTCTCCCTCATGCTCTCTACGCTAATGTCATGCTGCACTCTAATATCACTCTCTCCACTTGGCATATCCACAAGCCGCACGTCCTTCCCTTGAGGTTGCGTATCCTCCACATAGACTAACCCATGGTCCATACTATCCCCGCTCCCTAGTGTTGGACTTGCAGGACTTTTAAACCACTTTGCAAAATTTTGACTGGCCCGACTGGCTTTGCTCACTCTACTGCCCATTGTGAATGCCGGCGAGGGTAGCGGCGTGCTGTTCGGCGTCGGCCTCAACTTATCCGACTTCCTTGTAGCCCCGCTTTCGAGATCTGTGTCGAAGGGCATTGAGCCCCGGGAGCGAGAGCGAGAGCGAGAAGATGAGGAGGGGGTTACTTTTGAGACGACGGAGCGGAGGGAGGAGGCGAGGCGCGGGAATATGAGGAGGGCGATTACTTTTACGGAGGGCGCACAGGCTACGACTATAGCGAGGTGGTTTTCGATTACGGACCAGATCATTGCGTTGGCGAAACGCCCTAAACAGGGTTAGTTGAAGTTCGGCTCGTAGCTATATTGAGTATGGATTTTGGGCTAGAGAATATGGGGGTGGAATATGAGTGGTACTTACAAGGGAAATCAGGCTTGGTGGCGAATTTGTGGACTGACTCTAACCTGGCGGCACTCGCTGCTAACACACTACACACTATTAGCTCCTATGTTCAACACTCCTTCTGAGAAAACTTACAGTCCGCCAAGCGCAAACAGCGCATTCAACCCAACCCTCTGTGGCCGCCTCAACTGCAAATGCCATGTGAACACTACGGGCATAACATATAGCACGATATCTGTGGCCATCATAATCGACGCATTACAATAAAAGAAAATATTCAAGTTGACACAAAAGCCTGGGACGTCTGAATTCCACGCTTTGTTGATCGGCCGGCATTGGAAAATGTTGACGAGGATACTGCTAAGGCCGAAACCGAAGGCTACAAAATGCATGAAGTAGATGCTGCCACGGTACTTTTTCTCGCGTACGATTTCAGAGTAGAAGAGGAGGAGGGCGTGCTTGACGGCCCAGTTACAAAGGAAGTAGAAGACGTTGGATGCGATGACGAGCTGGGGGGAGTGTTAGTTTGTTGGGAGTAGGAAGGGGTAAGAGATGTACCTTGACGAGAGTGGGCATTTCTGCATCAGAGACGTCTTCCTTGTGTTGGCCGAGGCCATAGCGAGTTCCTATCATCTGGAAGATGGAGAAGATGGTTGCCGAGATCTGAATCGTTTGTGAGTGATAGTCTCAAGTGTAATGATATGTAACGACATACAGCAGCTACTGTTATCAAAGCTATACGCGCGTTAGACTTCAGTCGTTTCAACAGAAGATTGCGGAGAACCTACCATCGTGCCAACTCCATTTCCCTACCACGAATATCCGCCTCCCCACTCGCGAGCAGATAGCCGCAAGCGTGAGGACAATGAGTGCGGCATTGAGCCAGATGATTATAGGTCGTTGATCGGTCATGTTCTCGTAGTCTGAGAATTCCAAATCCCACGTATGCTCAAGTTAATGGTACGTTGTGGATTGTTTTAACTGGAGAGCGAACAAAGTAAATAATGAGAACAGAGCGATGACTGAGGCGTTGTGGAGACAATGCTCTTAAAACGCAGAAGTAATTGGAGGAAAAAGTAGCCGTGAGGCACGGCGAAGCGAAACAAAGTAGAAGACCAATACAAGAGTGAAATAAAGGATAGGAATAAGATCGAGCCCAGTTCAGAGGAAGAAGGAGCCGATGTGGTCACTGACTGATATCAGGATGCCACATCCAAAGATCGCTGGACGGCTCACTCTATAAACGCAGTGGAGGGACCCATTGCCTAGAAGCCTCTGCTCTGCGGGTGTTGTAATCCAAAATAAGCTTGCAGGCCAGGCCGTGAATATTGAGCAACTGCCGCGCAAGTTTCTTGCTTATAGTTACACAGCGCATGCCACATCTAATCTGGATGCATGGCCATAGGCGCCGAACGAAACATCTGCAGCCTGTGGGCCAATCGTTGCCGCCACGAAACATGCAGGTCAGGTCATCCAGTCGGTCAGCTGTATCCCTGCCACAACATGCATCCAACACAACGCCGATCTCGAGGGGGACATGACACAACGTGGGAAGTCGGGGAGTGGGGAACCTGAATACCAAGACTATCATATCAACTCAAAGAAATTCTGCAAAGGATTGCGGAGCGATCAAGGCGGAAGAACGGCGTCGCGTTAGAGTCTAGAGAAGGCAGTAATATCGTTGAAGAGGACTTTACAAGCCACTCTGGCTGTCTGCGAAGATGAGCGGAGGGAACCGTCGTACCGTCCCGTCCCCGCACCCCTAATGCTCAAAATAATGCGAAGGATTCACGCCCTCATCAATCAACTGGAGCAGAGGCGTCATGTCAGGTCAGAGAGACATCTCATTCTGCCTCACCGTTCATGGTGGCTTCTCAGCGCGACACGCATTGGGCGTTGATCAGTGAGCTGGCTTATCGGGTCCATAGGGCTGGCGAAGGATGCGCTTAGCGACATGGGTCATTTAATTTACCCCAACGTATCCTGTCTCGCGCGCGGATTTCAGCCCTGCGAATGTAGGCCGTTTTGGGCCGTAAGCCCACGTTGTGGAGCCAAATCCACCTTGTAGAGAACAACCCTCGCACGGCCGGAATCCTCTATAGCTAAATTAAACCTCTCGCGGATATGTCATATGGGTAGATGGACCGAAGCTGGGCTCTCTACACATGTGTCGATCTTCTCAGGAACCCGCAGCCACAAGCGATGCGGCACAGCAGCCCCTCAGAGGGTCAGAGGGGGAGTATAATTCTTTGGCCCGAAAGGCGGTCTAAAAATAAACGTCGGTCTTTTCCGTTCAAATTTTCTCTTTTCACTTTCCTGAGTGGCTGGAGGACTCCAATATCTTATGTAGGATTCGTCCATGGCCTTGCCCTCGTGTTCCACAAAGCTCTTAATCCTCTCGGTTGCCCCAGAGATTGATTGCAGAGTGCATGGAATTTGCTTCTTTTACTGCGCAGTGTCTAGCTGGCTGGCCTCAGTGACCGGTGTTGGTCGGCGATAGTTGTGTAACATGGTATGCCTGTGGAAAGAAGGGGGAATAAAGTTAGATCCTTAAAAAAGTATCAGAGGGTTAAAAGAAGTTCACCTGAAAATCAACTGTGACCTGTGTTTCTATATCGAGTGACACACATCGAAACTGTGCCGTCGCTTGCAGATTCTCCCCTGCAGCATCTTCCTCACACATCGGTCAATGTTTACTGGGGCACTTGGTGGGCTGATCGTCATATCTAGAACTTTTCCTATTCATTCATCCCTTTGGTGTTTGGAGGGCCCGGAGGGGACAATTGGCGATGAGAGGGGAGTTGGTGTGAATCTCTGTCCAATGATTTCCACTTTAGGTTTAGTGTATCCTCTGTCCTCATCTATATTGGGCATCGCTCCTCGCCCCACTGAATCCGCAGCTTCGCAACATGGATCAACTTTTTTGTGACTGGATATAATGATGTTAATCAAAAAAATTGTAAATTAATTAAAATGGTTGGTTAGCTCAGTTGGTAGAGCGTGGTGCTAATAGATTTTCTGTAACGCTAAGGCCGCGGGTTCGAGCCCCGTACTGACCAGTTATATTTTCTCTCTTTTTTGCCTTGCCAGCATTAGCAATAATCATTATCGGTAAAGAGTCGTGCCTATACTGCGATGTTTCTTTCATGTTTATTATTAGTGTGATGGTTTTTCGTGTGGGGTTACTTTTTTTGCTCTTCACTTTGCTCTTCCACAGGAATTTTCAATAATTATCATTTATCAAAGCACATTTTGGCGAAGGACTTAATTTTTTTGATTTTTGAAGATGGTCATGTCTCAGTGCCCCTAACTCTGTAGCATTACACGCAGATACGGTCAAATCAAATACTAAATCAAGTTGGCTCTACACGTCCATCAACGTCTTGTGTCTTCATGTCCGTGCTAGCATGTTCTGGACTCCTTCAACTCCCATAAGGGGATACCAAACGCAAGCACTCACAAGCTAAGTACTAAAACTCTTGTCGCCCCACCATATGGAGTCGGAAACGGTGAGCCGGTGATTTATCTATTGGCTATTGTCGTTGCTGTTCAAGCTCGTGCATATGCTGTTCCACCAAGTCACCGCCGTTCTTGGGATGGTCTAGGCTTGCGTGTCATAGTTCTTTATCCTCTGGAGAAACTAAGCTTATCCCTTGATCGTTGAAACAATATTCTACTCCCTGTTTTTGGAAGATACAGGCCGTGAGTTGAAAAATCGAGCCTTTATATATTCATAGTCGCGCTCTGTTCGCTATGAAGCACCCAAATCCTGACCTTTCCCATCTTGTTCATCGCCGGCCTACGTCCATGCCGTATTTAAAGGGACCCTTTTCCCCGACCTGTCCAAGCTGACGGGTCTCTCCTGAATTGTAGCCTTTGCTAGCAACTGGCAATCCTGATGTGGGTGCAGGTGAAGCGGATGGCCCGGTCAAAGGCTTCGATGAAGTCAAATCTGGGTCTGAGTCCTGCACCAGCCCATCTAGTACTAATTTACCGAACGACAGTGTAGGGACCGCTTGCTGGGTGCATGTGAGTTCAGGAGGTCGTTGTGTCATGGTATTCGCTGAAGCCTCCAAACCGGTGTAGAGGCTCTGGACATTGATTTAAATTCCTGGAACTCGCGAAATGCTTCTAGAAGATTGGACACACGTCCTTGTTGTGTTTGACATCCTATCCTCGCATTACTATGGAGCAGAATTAGGCACACTGTATTGAACTGGCCTGGAAAATCCAGCTGACGGAGACGTGAGGGGTGACGCTCAGGCGAAGAGAGCCAAAAAGCGATATCTACTCCCGTCATGCGCTGCAAGGAGAGACGCACACTCTTGTGTCGGAACCGCGTCACCAAACGTTTTCGGCCGGTTGTTTGATTATTAGTGGCGCACCAGTGGCGCACCATAACAAGCCTTATTAGTAATTTAGGTGGGTACTATCAAAGAGGTGGTTGCGCTTCCTCTAAGTTAGCTCTATACCTATTTAGGCGTAGAGCCCTAGGCTTTCTAATTAGGTAACCTTAAAGTGGTACGTGCAGACAAAGGTCTGGTGAAACTCAAATAGCGCATCACTTTGGTATCTAATATATATTTCTTTTCTTTCAAACCTCTCATAAATAAGAAGCAGGTCGCTTAGCTCAGTTGGTTAGAGCGTGGTGCTAATAACGCCAAGGTCGCGAGTTCGACCCTCGTAGTGACCATTCTACAATTTCTTTTTTGGTTTTTTTTGGTCAAAGTATATTTATTAGCTTTTGTGGCAGTTTCATTTTGGCTCGTATTTCTGCTAGACCAAACTATCCCTTACAATAACGACACCAACGTAGGCGTATATAGCCAATGCATTGCAGCTAAAGCAGAACTGCATTCTCTACTAGCCTCTCTTACTATCTCTTGTACAATCTTGCTACCTTTCTTCCTTGCACAGATTACTGATTGTTTCTTGCCTGTCCAATCTTACGCTATCTCTTCGTTTACTTTGCCTATCCATCTCCAACTACCTATAAAGGTACATTTGCTATACAGAAGCTTTGGATCATCCAAGCCCTATGGAAAGGTAGCCCCGTCCTTGGAAGCGCCGTTAAAGTATGCTAGGTAACACGTGTGCAGTCAGGCCCCGTCTGAGTTCAAACACCAACCGCAGGAGGCTGAAGAGGCCCTCGGGAAAGCGCCTCAAGAAGCAAAACCTGACCGAAGCGTTACAGCACAGTGGCTATTTTATGGCGAGCCAGAAACTGGGATCTTTTACTTCATCCGCATCCTTTCACCCGAAGGGGAGCACGCTCAGAAGCTACTAGCTGGACGGTCCCGCAGAGACAGGGCTAGGGCCAATCAATACATCAAGGAGCACTGTCACAGGCAGAAGCAAATGGGGCGGTCGGGCCCTATGAGGGAAGACAAGACATCAACGCCAGGACCAGCGGCAGCCTAGGCATGAGGGAGACATGTTTCAGCCCCACCCGGCGTCTGGGGCGTAGGCAGGCGCCTATTTTGCTCTTGTTACAGGTGTTCTCATTCCAGTCTACTGTTAAACATAATTGCGTTGGGTAGCAGACCTTGTACTGAGTAAAAAGCCCAAATACGTTCTTAATACGTTTAGAACATGATCCGAATGGGTTATCTTTCTTCTGCAAACCCTCTTTCTACACATTCGTGTCTCAACGTCTCCTAGGCAAAATCCCACGAAATCGCTAGCACAGCTACACTCCTTGTAGCCGATCTAAATAGAATACATGCAGGTATAATAGTAGTTTAAGCATGTCCACACTTCTTCACGTAACGGTCAAAACAAGGTCAAGTATTGCTTTTTGGATCTTGTTAGCCATGCTGTTATCTAGGCCTGGAACATCGTTTCTAAGATTACAATAGGACTAAGACAGAAGGAGTCCTAGGAGAATTATTCTAGAGAACTATCTTAGACCAGAATTAATTTTAGGATGTAGGTAGTCCTAGGCCGCGCCCCTACAGAAGCATGCGGCTGTGCATTGCCTTCCGACCTAGGCAATGCCGAGGATGGCAAGGTATTTGTAAAATTTCTTGACACTTGAAGATTCGCGCGCTTGAGTGCTATGGAAGGCGCGCTTTGAACTCGAGGAGAACTCAGAAAGCTACTTGATTGGCGCTAGTTATGTTATATCACTGTGCAACATTCTCTTCTTAATAATCATCTTTCGCCTTGCCAAAATACTTGACCTTATGGTATACAGCAGCCTCAATCGACTTGGCTTCACTCATTGCTTTCTTCGTCCAGTCTGTCATTGGATCTAATGGCTCCACGTCTTTTCCAATCTTGTGTCCCTCCCCAAACTCATGAATGGCTAGGAAAGAGAGGCGCTGTGACACCTTCGCGTCACTTCTGTGCTGGAAAAGGAGATTAAACCGTGTCGTTCGTTTCCATCCTGGCTGTTCAGACATTTGTTGATTATGCTCTTCACGATACCAAGCATCTAAATCGGCTTCCCCGTCTTCTCCAGGCTCCATAGCGGCATGGATAATGGTTGTTGCAGCATCTGCCAAGGTCAGAACTACACAATAATACCAGACTCCAAGTCTTTAGAAAATAAGGGAAGTCTATATACGGACCTTCAGGTTGTGTTGTTGTTTCGTACAGCTGCTCCAATGCCAAGATCCTTGACTCGGACACGACAAAATCCTCCAAAGGTCCACTCGTTGGGAAAAGGTCGCTAGTTCTCTTGATGTCTTGCAGCTTCCCACCCTGCACGTCTCGAAGTTCGGGGATTTTGTAGATGGACATGAGAGGTTTCTCAAAGTCCGAATTGGCAGCTTTGAATCTCCAAGCGGATGTAACGACGCCAGTAGCAATCAAGGCAGGGACATAGAATTCATCGAGCCATTTCTCCAAGGTCGCCTGCGATAGTTTCGATGATTCTGGGATTGTAATGAAGCTCTGGATGATACCCGGACCGGACCAAGCAGGCGGTGCTGGACTTGCGTCAGGCATAATTTTTCGGTTCGTGGAGAGATATAGTACTATTGTTAATGAGAGCTTGAATGTAGGTGGGCTGGATAGTAGCGTATAGCCTGTGATATGTGGATGTCGCTTTTCCGACTACTCCGCACTATGCCCGGGTCAGCTTAGCCGAACATTTTCCAACACGAGGTTGATATTCCTTGGTCACTTTACTGCCCTGATCAAGCGAGTGTAAAGATGTTATAGAGTAAAGGCTTGGTTCTGTACTTAAAGGCATATTTCTATAAGAAAAGTAGTATTGTCGTTGTGGCTCAGCCCTAAGCACTGTTACAATATCGCACTTGTCTCTACCTCTTGCATCTCTAGCTCTTTGGCCGCCTCCTACCGCCCTTGGTCCCTGTACGTCGACGTCTTGTTTGTATTAATTATTATGGAAGGATGCTCATCACCAAGTAACAGCTAGTTGTCAGCCTTTAAGCAGTTGGGTTGTCATGGACATAAGCTTAGTTGAAGAAGAACCCAACGAAGCGACGCAGTCGGAATATCCTCATCCTGCGCGGGTGTGGCGGGTACTACCACAACCAGTCCATGAGTTTATCTTGGTGAGAGATCAGCGTAGGCAGCACCACCAGGAGCCAGACGTAGAGAAGAATGTCGTTTAACATATTGGAATGAATGTAGTAAAGATGTTAACATATGGTTCCCGTGCAACAAAGGTGAAGAAGAAAAGAAGGGAGAAATGGGAGAGTCGGAACAGTTTTATTATTGCTACACCTACCGAACGTCATCACCTTCGTTGAGAAGGAGCTTGTTGAAAAGGAGCCCGGCGCCGGAGCAGAGAAGGAAGGCACCATGGACCTACAGCTCACGAGGACACCGACTTGCCGACAGCGACCACACAAATGCCTAACACCGATTCTGCCACTCTATTAGCATTTTTTTCCTCGCAATAACGTGTGGTGCTCTTACGATAAGTATGACCACCCAGAACGTAACAAGTAACAGCAGATACCACCCTACACACTGAAACAACCCATGACTCCTTGGCTGGGGCTCATACCTGCCCCCAACAAACTCGGCCAGAGGTATCGAGACGAAGGCATGGAACGGAGCTACAAGGAAGAGGAAAGCCTCCTTG